TCCTCCTCCTCCTCCTCCTTCTCCTCCACCACCACCACCACCACCACCTCCTCCTCCTCCTCCTCCTCCTCCTCCTCCTCCTCTGTATACCCCCCACCCTTCTGGCACTGATGAAGTTACCTAGTTTGCTTATGAAACGCCTGCAAGAAAACAAGCAAGTTCAGAGAGCACCAAGGACTCCACAGTTCTCCTCCTCCTCCTCCTCCTCTTCCTTCTCCTCCTCCTCCTCCTCCTCCTCCTCATTCCTCCCCCTCCTCCTCCTCCTCCTCTCTGTATACCCCTCACCCTTCTAGCACTGATGAAGTTACCTAGTCTGGCTAACGAAACGCCTGCAAGAAAACAAGCCAGCCCCAAGGAGCCCTGGAAGATGATTTTTTTTTTCATTCCAGGCCAATCTGGGGGTTCCACGGCTGCAGATGGAGCTTCTCTGGGGCCGGGTGAACCCTCTCCGTGACCTCCCCAAAACATGGCCACGTTTCCTGTCTCCAAAGTTCCCGACTTCAATCTCTGTCCCCAGAGAAGGATGCACGCAGGTGCAAAACCCCACGTGTGAAGCTTGAGCAGGCCACACAAAGAGCATTTCTCTCCCCCCCCCTCTCCCTGAAAACAGTTTATTTTGCTTTGGGGCAAATATTAATCATCTGAAGCAAAAACCAGGCGATCTGTCAACCTCAGATGTGCAGCCTTGGATTTGCTCCTTGGCAAAATTCAGAGCCACGGCTCCGGCCTTCTGGCTCTGTCGTTAAATTAATCAAATGATTATTCACAATTTAATCATGCATGGCTCTCAGATGTTAGTTTGGAAACTGCTTTACAGCTAGTCCTCGACTTACAGCAGTTCCCTTAGTGACAACTTGAAGTTACAACAGCACTGAAAACAGTGTTTCGCACTTACGACCGTCGCACGTGATCAAAAATCGGAGGCTTGACAACTGACTCGTATTTACGACAGTTGCAGTGTCCCGGGGTCCTATGACTCCCTTTTGCGACCTTCTGACAAGCAAAGTTAAGCCAGATTCACTTAACAACAGAAATTTGGGGGTCAGTGATGGTCATTTAGTTGAGGACTACTGGTTTTCAGATTTGCCTTTTTGCCATAAAATCGCCTTTTTATTAATCCACGGCGCCTCCATTTTATGAACCCCTTTCCAGGTGCATACAGCTTGCAGAGACTCGTATCCGCGCAAGTGTCCGCTGGGCCAGTGCAAAGTCTCAATTATTCCACCCACGGCACTGAACAGCATAGATTCGGACGGTATGTATGTTAACATGGCAAGTGTATGATGTATGTAACATGCATGGTATGTGCTGCATGAGTGCACACCACCAGTAACGTGGATAATGGAACAGGACAGTTTGCAAGACACCAGAAAAGCTTCAATGGGAGATGGAAGCAATTCAAGCAGAATGTGAATGTCTTAGTACTTTATGGAATAGAATAGAATAGAATAGAATGGAATGGAATGGAATGGAATAGAAGAATGAAGAATAGAATAGAATAGAATAGAATAGAGTAGAGTAGAGTAGAGTAGAGTAGAGTAGAGTAGAGTAGAGTAGAGTAGAGTAGAGTAGAGTAGAGTAGAGTAGAGAAATGTAGAATAGAATAGAATAGAATAGAATAGAATAGAATAGAATGGAATGGAATGGAATGGAATGGAAGAATGAAGAATAGAATAGAATAGAATAGAATAGAATAGAATAGAATAGAATAGAATAGAATAGAATAGAATAGAATAGAGTAGAGAAATGTAGAATAGAATAGAATAGAATAGAATAGAATAGAATGGAATGGAATGGAATGGAATGGAAGAATGAAGAATAGAATAGAATAGAATAGAATAGAATAGAATAGAATAGAATAGAATAGAATAGAATAGAATAGAATAGAATAGAATAGAATAGAATAGAGTAGAGAAATGTAGAATAGAATAGAATAGAATAGAATAGAATGGAATGGAATGGAATATAATGGAATAGAATAGAATAGAATAGAATAGAATAGAATGTAGAGTAGAGTAGAGTAGAGTAGAGTAGAGTAGAGTAGAGTAGAGTAGAGTAGAGTAGAATAGAATAGAATAGAATAGAATAGAATAGAATAGAATAGAATAGAATAGAATAGAATAATAAAGTTGGAAGGGACCTTGAAAGTCTTCTAGTCCAACCCTCTCCTCAGGCAGGAAACCCTATTCCATTTCAGACAAATGATTCTCCAGTCTCTTCTTAGAAACCTTCAGTGTTGGAGCATCCATAACTTCTGGTGGTAAGTTGTTCCACTGATTAATTGTTCCAACCGTCAGGAAATTTCTCCTTATTTCCAAGTTGCTTCTCTCCTTGATCAGTTTCCAGCCGTTGCTTCTTGTCCTACCTTGGAGAATAGCTTGACTCCCTCTTCTTTGTGGCAGCCCCTCAGGTATTGGAACACTGCCAGCATGTCACTCCTAGTCCTTCTTTTCACTCAACTAGACATTAAACTAGGAAGACAATTTCTTGCCGATTTCCATGTAAATTAATGTAAGAGAACTAATGACACTTAAGATACAAACACTCAGATTCATGCTTCTAATTAGGTTTCAATTTGTAGAGACCCTGGCAGATTGCCATACATTCAAACACAGAAATGAATTTTCTATGCTCTAAAACATATTGGCCTTTGCCGATGAAAAGCAAAGAATTTTACCACCACTTTATAAAGTCTTGGTAAGATCACACTTGGAACACTGCATCCATATATATATATATATATAAAATGTTGAGACTTTGGAAAAAGCACAGAGAAGAGCAACAAAGATGATCAGGGGACTGGAGGCTAAAACATATGAAGAACAGTTCCTGGAATTGGGTAGGTCTAGTAGTTTAATGAAGAGAAGGATGAGGGGTGACATGATAGCAGTCTTCCAGTATTTGAGGGGCTGTCACAGAGAAGAGGGGGGTCCATCTATTCTCCAAAGTGCCTGAAGGCAGGACAAGAAGCAACAGATGGAAACTAATCAAGGAGAGAAGCAACCTAGAACAAAGGAGAAATTTCCTGACAATTAGAACAATTAATCAGTGGAACAACCTGCCTCCAGAAGTTGTAGGTGCTCCAACATTGGAGACTTTTAAGAAGAGATTGGACAGCCATTTGTCTGAAATGGTATAGGGTCTCCTGCTTGAGCAGGGGGTTGGACTAGAAGACCTCCAAGGTCCCTTCCAACTCTTGTTATTCTGTTATTCTGAATAGCTTGCCTTCAGACGTTGTGGGGGCTCCAACACTAGAAGTTTTCAAGAAGAGATTCGCATGAATGGTCTAAGGTCTCCTGTTTGAGCAGGGGGTTGGACTAGAAGGCCTCCAAGGTCCCTTCCAACTCTTGTTATTCCGTTCTCTGAATCTATTTGTAATAATCCTCCATCCTGTGTCCAAAATTGTTTCCAAAATTCATTAAGAACCTCTTGAATGTAATTGCTGGAGATAGGAAAGGAGTTTTAGCTGGTTGATATTATTTTATTTCCAGGTTTCTGGAAAGCTACCTGTCCACCCACGTGCGCCAGTCCTCTGTTGGTTTTTGTGAATTCGAAGAGCGGAGACAATCAGGGCGTGAAATTCCTTCGGCGCTTCAAGCAGTCGCTAAACCCAGCTCAGGTCTTCGATTTAATGAACGGGGGGCCTCATTTAGGGTAACCTGGTTTATTTGCTATCCAGGGTTATTTGGGAAAGGAATGAAAAGCGGATTAGCAGAAATGCACTGTCGGATAATTTGAGAGACGCAGAGTCCACAGCCTCAAGAGTAGAGCGTTGATTCCCAACCTTGGCAAGAGGGAAGAAAACGTGGACTTCAACTCCCAGAATTCCCCCCTCCTGTCTGGGGAATTCTGGGAGTTGAAGTCCATACATCTTCAAGTCGCCAAGTTTGAAAAACACTGCTCTAGATTCTTCTCCAGTGGCGAACAATTCATATTATTTTCCTTCCCAAAAAAGCATAGACATCACACACCAGGCATCCTGCGTTTTACAATCCCTTTTCTGATAAAAAAAATTGGTAAATGGAATTCCCTTACTGAGGTCGTTAAGTGTGAAAAACGGTCATAAGTCACTTTTTTCAGTGCCGTTGTAACTTTGAACGGTCACTAAACAAGTTGAGGGCTCTCTGTAATCCCGACATTGGATTCCTAGTTTCTTTTCTTCATTGGACTGATATCTGTTTCTCATTTCCTCCTGTCATCTGTTCGATCTAAACGTTTCTGCTTAATAACATATATTATTAATATGTATTATTAATATAGTCTTAATAATATATTCTTTTTTGGGTTCTCAGTACTATCTGAATATGATTTTAAAGGCGCTGGTTTTTTTGCCTAGAAAGTTCTCTAACGCTTAGTTCCCAACACAGTTGACTTTCAGGGTTATGAGATTCCCCGGCTAAGAGGATGGATTCGAATACAGAACACGCCTTCTCTTTTTTTCCAGTTTGCGGTTATTTCAGAAGTTTGACAATTTTCGAATCCTGGTGTGTGGAGGAGATGGCAGCGTTGGCTGGGTGTTGTCTGAAATTGATAAGCTTAACCTACACAAACAGGCGAGTGTCTTGTTTCTTTCTCCTCAAGAGAAGAGAAGGGAGCCTTGTTTTTAAAAAACTAGAACAGGAAAGAAAAAAAGAACAGGTCATCATTATAATTAAACATTGTCATAGAGTTTAACAGTAGTTAAGGTTAAACAGGGTAATTTTTATTTTTTATTTCATTTCATTTTATTTTATTTTATTTTATTTTATTTTATTTTATTTTATTATTTTATTATTTTATTTTATTTTATTTT